GAAGATCTGGCAATTTTAGAAGTAGTTTTGTAAAAATAGAGGCCTCGTTTGGATGGTTTTTCATTATTAAGGTCCTTAGTGCACGGATGAGGGTTTCCTGCAAAGCCTCCACAGAGTTGACATTTTCTATCCCAGATCGGTCTAATAGGGAATAAGGAATAGAGAAATATGGAGAAGACATATTATTAACAATAAATATAAATACAATTTCTGTTCATCAATCTAATTCAAAACAAGGTTTTATGCACTGACATAATTTTTTAAGTCTCAATCACAAATTTTCTAGCTTTTTTTTTCTGGTATCAGGGATCAAATTCAGGACCTTGCACTTGTGAGGCAGGCAAGGCACCACTGAGCTAAATCCCCAGCCTCCTAGCTATTTATTATAATGCACATACAGCACAGTATATAGTACATTTCATACATCAATATTCTTTAGGGCTTTGGAATTTCTATCCACAAAAAGCTAGAAGTGAGACAGGGTCTTGCTATGTAGCTTAGGCTGGCCTCAAACTCACAGTGATCCTTCCAGGTGCTAGGTTTACAGGTGTGCGCCACCATACCTGGCCAAAACTCCAGATTCTGATTTCTAAAATTAGACGCCATGTGCTGACTTCAACTGTTTCTGATTAGCAAAATAAAATAATGTAGTTCACAAATATTTTTTACTACACACAGACTTTATTGCCATTTATATGCTACCATGCAGGGTAGACGGGCAGCCTCCAAACTGCCCTCCAACAATGCCCTCATTCTGTAATGCCTTCTGTAATCCCCTCCTCTTGAGTAGGCCAGAGTTACTGCCTCACTTCTGTGTTAAGATTTTTTTTTTGGTACTGGGGATCGAACTCAGGACCTTCCACTTGCGAGTAAGGCAGTGGCACCACTGTACTGCCTCACTTCTAATGAATAAAACAAGGCAGAAGTGAGAGGAGGTCACTTCTGAGATTAGGTTACAAAAAAACTGTGGCTTCTATCTTAGGACTCTCTTATTCCCTCAGAGAAAACCTGCTGCAAGCCGTCCTATGGAAAGGGTCCCAGGATATGGAACTGTAGTCTCCAGCCAATGGCCCATAAGCAAGTTAAGACACTCAGCTCAGCTGCTTTCAAGGAGGGAGCTGAGTCCTGCCAATAACCACATGAACCTGGAACCAGACCCTTCCCTTCTCCAGCTTTACAGGCAACCACAGCCCTGTCCTAAGCTTGACTACAACCTCCTAAGAAACGTCAAGCCAAGCACATACATCATACTCATATTCCCAACCCTCAGAAACTGTGAGGTAATACACATTTGCATTTTAAGCCACAAAGTTTTGAAGTAATTTATTATGCAACAATAGATAACAGACCATGGAACTTTATTACACTAGTTATATTATCCTCCATTCACTTTCATTTCCTATACTGTTTACTCAGCTTGTCATATAAAATGTCAATAAATTAGTGATTTAGCACAGACCAACAAGAAAGTATCTTAAAACCAGTCAAACTTTATGTACTTTGCCCAAGAACTTTATTCGTCAAGTGTTATTTCCTCTCTTTACAAATGGAGGCGGTAGTGCATAGGAAATATGCAGTGGCGATGACCCTCTACACTTTGGGGAGGTTGCAGAAGAAAAAGACCTATCTGCAAGAAAGGAAATTTCTCCGATCACTAATGTCTTTTCACTTTTTACAAGGAGGTCTTCCATTATAACTAGTAGCTTTAAAGGACATGTGGAATACAAGCATTTAGAAAAAGAACTAAAATGTAACAGCAAAGGGGCTAAAACATAAATGCTGAAAAATGATGAAAACAGACATATTTAGCAAAATGTGAATTCTTATAACTATGTACTAATTACTATGGAAAAAGAAACAAACTGAATATTAACTATTGGTTTGGAAAGTCATTATTTTTCTGATGAAACTATTAGAGGACCTCTTTCTCTTGACATGTGGTTTTGGCCAATAAGGTTACCTTTGCAAAAAAAAAAAAACTAAAATGTAACAGCAAAGGGGCTAAAACATAA